GATGAGTTGAAAGTATTGTGGATTAAGGGTGTTGTCTTGAATGATGCATATAGGAAACAAAATTTTCAATTGAGGGCAACATTATTATGGACAATTAATGATTTTCCTCCTTACGGTATGTTGTCAGGGTGGAGTACTCATGGACGATTATCGTGTCCCTATTGCATAGAACGCGCTAAGTCTTTCATATTGAATCATGGTAGGAAACCTTATTTTTTTTATTGTCATCCACAATTCTTGCGACCTACTCATCCTTTTAGGAGGCAAAGAGACAAGTTTTTTAAAAAAGGAGTTGAGCATGACTTATCATTTCCTCGATTATTAGGTGAAGAAATATTGTCACGTTTGAATTCGCTTGCTCATATCCCATTTGGAACAAAATGTGGTGAGTAGAAGATTTTGGGTTATGGTGTAAGTCATAATTGGGTAAAAAAGAGTATATTTTGAGATCTACCTTATTAGCATATGCTTCTTATTCCTCACAATCTTTATGTGATGCATGTTGAATGTAATGTATTTGAGAATATATTTAACACAATGATGGATGTTAAGGGAAAAACGAAAGACAACTTAAAGCATGACAATATTTGAAGGTGTATTACAAGCGATCAGAATTGGAATTGGTGGAAAATAATGAAAAAATTTTCCAGGCTAAGGCTTCATACACCTTAAATAAGGAGGAAATAAAAATTGTTTGTGCTTAGGTGAAATAATTGAGATTACTTGATGGCTTTGTGTCAAACATATCTCAATGTGTTCATGAGATTGATTGCATATTTTATGGGATGAAAAGTCATGATTGTCATGTTTTTTTGCAACGATTGCTTCCAATTGTCTTTTGTGATATTGTGCCTCACTCAATTTGGGATGCGATTACTAAGATATCTCACTTTTTTAGTGATTTATGCCCAATTGAAATAACTATAGATCATATGAAAGCTTTGGAAGGAAAAATATGTGAAACTATATGCAAACTAGAAAAGATCTTTCCTATTGGTTTCTTTGACTTTATGGAGCATTTGCTGATTTATTTACCTTATGAGGCAAAGGTTGGTGGACCCGTCTAGTATTGACGGACATATCCATTTGAGAGGTACCATAATTGTTATTTATTTTCAATTAGTTTATTAGAAGAATTTGAGGTACTTATTAAGTTTTATGAATATTGTGATTTTTAGGTTTTTGCATCATTTAAAGAAGAAAGTAAAAAATCAAACCTTTGTTGATGGATCTATATGTGAGGCTTATATGACTGAGGAAATCTCTTCGTTTTGCTCATGGTATTTTGAACCTATTGTGCGAACGAGATTAAATCAAGTGCCATGTAATGATGATGGGCGAGATGTGGACTTTCTTGATCGTCTTTCAATTTTCACTCATCCTAGGCGAGCTTTTGATCCATTAGATAAACCTCGATTTTTATATGAGGATGAGTTTTATGCTGCTGAGCTATATGTTTTAATGAATTGTAAAGAGATGCTCCCATAGGTTAAGTAAGGACCATTCTACCATAAACTCAAATGATTGATCATAAGTATGAACTTAATTTGTAAATTATGGATATGATGAAAGGATATTTGATAAAATGGTGAAGAGAAATGTTGTGCATATATTGGAAGATGAATTGGAGAAAGTACATGATGCAAGATTCATGAAATGGTTTAAAAATTAGGTAAGTTTATGTAAATTAGAAGTGAACTTTTAACAACAAATATGCATTAATTGACCCACATAACAAATATGTAATTAATCACTTTTGGTCTTGTATTTCATGTTCGTAGGTTGCAAAACATAAGGATGAAATTGACTCATGTATACTTGAAATCTCTCATGGTCTAGGACGTATGATAAAGTTTACAAAGGATACTTTGTAAATGGTTTCAAGTTTCACACCCTAGATTACTGACAAAATCGTGAAACAATGAATAGTGGGGTATGCATAAAAGGGAGCTTTTAAAATGATTATGAGCCTAACTTTATAGTATTTTAGTGGATATAATCGAATTGGAGTATTTTGGTATCGAAACAAAGTTGTGCTATTTAAGTGTCATTGGTTTGACACTAAAACTGGTATTAAGGTAGACCCTTTTCATGGTCTTGTTAAAATTAAATGCAATTCAATACTTGACACTAATGAACCATTTGTTTTAGCTAGACAAGCTCACCAAGTTTATTATCATAGTTATCCTTCAACCAAAAGAGATCGATGTGATTGGTGGTCAATATTTAAAACAAAAGCTAAGAGTGGATTTCACATTCGTAGTAGTGGAGATTAAGAAAATGAAATTGATTGGAATGAAAAAGTGTACCAAAAAGATGTGTCTATTTCAGTTAATGTTACTCCATCGGAAGAACTTGATAACTTTATAGTTTTAGTAAGTGGTGATTATGAAGAGGTTAATATCTTGATTGACGATGGAGAAGATGACATGCAACGAGATGAATATGAAGAATATGACATGGAAGGATATGAAAATGAAGATGAAGTTGAAGAAGAAGACAAAGAAACTTTTAGTGATGATAGTGATAATAATGAAAAACATGATTTTGCTTATTCTGAAAGTGATTGATAATGGTAAACATATATGATATTGGTTTTATATCTTTTGTTACATACTTGTTTAACTTTAATTTTATAATATTGAAAGATCTTGTCATGTTATAAAATTATTATAGTTTATATTTATAATTTTGAAAATGAATACTTTATAATGGCATCTTTTATTGTACAAATGATTAGGAATTACTCTTAATTGTTGTAAATTGATGATTTTAATAATTTGTTTAAATTTTTTTAAAAATATTTGTATATGAATTTTAACAAAAAAATATTACAAGAACAATGGCTAAAGGGAAATATTCAAAATTGAGACTTAGAGCAACAAATGCCTCTGGAATTATGTTGGCGCCTATAAATGCTAGTGCATTTGCTGATCCATCCATTCAACCACAGATGCAGCAGGTTAATAATGGCGTGCCCTCTAAGCCACCCTCTTTGTTGGGTGTGTTTGCAGTCAAGTAGATAATTAGGCATCTACTCATGATTCTCGTAGATCCACATTTATTAATTTAGGTGCAAGTGTAGATGATACATCTTCAAGGTCAAGGGGTAAAAGGCCTAGTGTAGGATTATACACTCCTGTAGATCTATCCAAAAGATTGCGTATAACTCTTATTGGAGAGAGGTATGTTATCTTGTATTATAATGAAATAGTTATATTTGTTATATATCTTAATATGTAATAAGTTTCTTTTATCTTACACAAGTACTTTTTTTGAGCAAGGGGTCACAACTACAATAACAAGGATCATAAAAAATCACTTCCATGATCCATGGTCAACATAGAGGAAAGTCCCTAATGACATAAAGGAGTTAATGTTTAAAAAATTTCAGGTACTATGTTTGTTATTCAATTAAATTATAACTTTTTATTTTCAATTAATTTGAATCAATTTTTTTAGTTACTGTATTATTTTGATGTAGGAAAAATGTGTTTGGCCTACAAATCAAGATGTTTTGGTTCGATGAATATGGGATAAAATATGTTCTGATAAGTTAAGAGACATGCTTTCAGAAGAATGGAATAAAGTAATGACAGAAGCCAAAGCAAACAATATTAGGGATTGCAAAGGCATGTCAAGGGAATAGATCACAAATGAAATCTGGGATGCTTTTATCGATACGATATGGGGTACAGAAGAATGGCAAAATAAATCAAGAAAAGCAAGGCAAAGTCATTTAACGTCCAAAGATAAAAGCATTCCAAAGCACACTGGTGGTTCAGTTTCATTTGTTATTCATGCAAAAAGGATGGTATGAATTAATCTTACTTCGCATTTATATGTATGGT